ATTTTTTTCCAGAGCATTTGCATTTTATATCACTTGGTTCTGTTCCATAATTTCTCTGTCTATGCATAGCCCAATGCTGAGGAAAGAATCCAAAGGGGAAAATCTTAGTTTTCATCTGCAGGCTTTCACTCTAGTACTGACCCGCAGTGTGTGTGCAAATCGGAAACAAGGGCACGTTTCTTGGAGACTGGATACTGACCAGAAAATCGAGATATGCATATCCCCCAACTGCTGTTGGAGATTAGGCATATTGTGCGCATTCTCCATGAGGTCTGGGGAATGTGCACAACGGCTGGTTGTTATGCACATTAACCGCTCACATTATTCTCAACATATATGTGTATAGGGCTGTTTTGCAGAAGATAGAGAGACTTATTTTGTTGCTGTTTTTGTTGCTTCAGAGGGCAAGATTAGAGCCAATGAATGGAAACTTCAGGAAAGCAGATTTCAGATCAACATTAAGAGAAACTCTCTAACATTAAGAACTTTTCAGTAGTAGAATGGACTGCCTCAGGAGGTGATGTGTAAGCAGAGGCTGGATACTCATCTGTCAAGGATACTGTAGTTGCATCCTGAACCACAGATCCTGCACTGAGCAAAGGTTTTGACTAGATGATCTCCTTGCTTCCTTCCAACTCTATGGTTCTATTATTTTCCCCAAAGATGCAGCTAATAGAAATTAACAATCAGTGTCATTTTGGGAAATGTTTTGTTAACTTGTACAGCGGAAACCAGCTGAAAGTTTAACCTGTGTTCATAGCTATTGTCTATTTTTCTAGCGAAAGAGGTGCAGGAACGCCTCCCTTGTTCTCTTATAACGGCAATGGCGCTCACCTGTGAGGTGCCAGAACTGAGTTCCACTGAGCTCCAGCTGGAAAAAAAGCCCTTCATATTGCACAATTCTCTGGTTTTCTTTCAGTTTTGTGCTTGGGGTGTGTGGATAATAATAATAATAATAAATTTTATTTATATCCCGCCCTCCCCAGCCGAAGCCGGGCTCAGGGCGGCTAACAACAATAAAACAGTACAAAAGTACAGCATAAATAACAGTCTAAAATCATTCATTATAAAATTAATTAATTCAAGCCACTGGCAACCATTGGGCCAGAGCTCCGCGAAGATTGCCGAGGGAGGGAGTCAGGCTGTGCCCTGGCCAAAGGCCTGGTGGAACAGCTCTGTCTTGTACGCCCTGCGGAAAGATGTCAAGTCCCGCAGGGCCCTGGTCTCTTGTGACAGAGTGTTCCACCAGATCGGGATGGGATGGAGATGTCCCTCCACGTAACCCAAAACGCTTTTAATGGCACCCTCCTAGAGAGGGATGCTGGGTTCAGCCCTCCGGCATTGAGCCCCATGTTCCACCTGCCAAACGTTGAGGCGGGACGAAGTATCGCAAACCATGCTGCAAAGATCCTGAGCCAATCCAAGTGGGGCTTGAAGTCACCACCAATCAGCTGATCAGTGCTGACTTCAAGCACTGCTGGGACCAATAAGCGATTAGGAGCTCCCGAGTGGAACCAATCCCAGTGGAGATTGCATCTGGCACCAAATCTAAAATACGCCAGCCCCACTTTCCAAGGAACAATTTGGAACACCTTTTGAGGCTGTCAGTTGCAGAGGAAGGAAAATAAAGCAGAAAAGCAGGCCTAAACCATGGTTTGCCTGGTGTATGCTTGAAAGCTCATACCGGGGTTTGAGTTCTAATCTGTGGTTGGCAAAACCATGTTCTGTTGTGATGTCTGAATTAAGCTTCTTTCATGGTGCCCATCTGCGTTCCGCTGCAAATTGGCTTATCTAAGATTATCTGCTGGCCTGCCAAGCAAATGAATTTCTTGTTACCTGTTGAATGTGATCCCATTATATTAACTACCAGAGTGTCTCCCTTCTTTCAGCCTTAGCTGCTCAAGCTTATGCACTTAAGGAAGAGAACGACAGTCTCCGATGGCAACTGGACGCTTACCGAAATGAAGTTGAACTCCTGAAACAAGAGAAAGGGCAGCTCTTTCGAACAGAAGAAAGTTTGACAAAGGACCAGCAGTTGCAGTTCTTGCAGCAAACGTTACAAGGCATGCAGCAGGTATTCCTTTACCAGAGGTTTGAACTGTTTTTAAAATAATCCTCCCAAACTGACGCATGCTGGGGGGGCATACGTGCAATTGAGAGCAGTCACCAGAAAGCCCCCGCCAAATTTGGTGCAGTGCTCTGGAAGAGAACTGATTATTACTTCTGTAACCCAAACAATGGAGAAGCTGCGTGTGCTCATCATTTAAAATTTAACACATAAAATTTCAAAAGAAAAAACCTTTAAAAATTATCTTTCTTTTCTTTTCTTTTCTTTTCTTTTCTTTTCTTTTCTTTTCTTTTCTTTTCTTTTCTTTTCTTTTCCTTCAATATGTGTATGTTCCCCTCTGGGGTACAGGGAGTGTGCATTCACAAACTAAGATTTTAAAATGAAGGGGTGTAAAGTGTAATTAAATGCCAGGGCGGTATTTCAAAAGAGGAAATAGACTGGCTGATATTTATCCATCTGTACATGTTCCCAGACACGTTTTTTGAAACTACATGAATTCTGCCGTTGGAGCTGTGCAGCAGAAAGCACCAAGTCACTAAAATAAAGGTGCAGAGAAAAGAATGCAAAATTGCTCAAGCACTGGAGAGTGTATTCCTAGTTGTTTGTGAGCGTGGAAGTAGTAACCAACAAATGCCCATTGACACTTGTTGTCCTCCCATTCTCTGTGGCAATTTTAAGTACAATGGGTGGCCTAATAGGTGGAGAATTGTGCTTTACTAGGAACAAAATAATGCTTGAGTATGGGGGAAATGAGATATCCCTACAACCAAGTTCCAGCTGGGAAAAATACATTCGTATTCCTCTGCCATTTTAATTCCTCTGCAACTGCTGGGATAAGGATGTTTGTATCTACTTCAGCTGCACATAAGGACTGCACATTATTTCTGCAATTATCTAATCTTTTGGAAAAGCCCTCTGTCTGAGAAGAAGCCTATCAGCAAAAATAAGTGCATTTTTTTTCTGTTGAAAAATAAGGTAAATATGGCAAAACTAGCTTATTTGCAAGCTACTGCTCCCAGTTCTTCTTTTCTCTCTCTTTTCTTTTCAAGATTTCTTCCTACATTTAAAGGACTAGGCAATCAAAAATTGTATTATCATTTTTTTTTCTTGGGTATAAAAATGGCAACCCTTGCAATTGATATTGTCTGGAAATGAAAATCCATTTGATTTAAGGGCAGTTCAGGCGTTGCACTTATACTTTTTTGAGATAATTCTCCTCATAGAGCTACGTTACAGTTTAATTTCACACCCAGTGTGAGATCTCTAACAAACAAATGGAAATAATGTCCTGTATCCATGGTAACAAATGAGATATGCTTTACCTGATCTCATGATGGAACTGAAATAGGAAACTACAGAATTTAGCTCTGAAAAAAGCATTCGAGACTTATCTGAGCCATTCCCTTGACCTTAAAAACAGGTATTCCATCCAGCTCACATCTAAATTAGGAGCAAATTGTTTTTGGCATCTGTCTCAAGAGACAATAGAGGAATGTGCCTTGGGGGGGGGGTCAAGTCAAACTGTTGGAGAGTTACAGCGCCTGCTGTAGCTGTAGAGGCCAATACAGGAGAGGCATGTTTTGTTGCGTCTGGGGCAGGTGAAGGCGTCCAGTTTCGCTGGTGCAGAACAAAATTTGGAGCAGAAGGTTCTCATGTCCCATAACCCCTGTGCTTTCACAGATGGTTATTATTCCTTATTACCCAAATTGTGGTCACAAAGTTCAGGTAAAGTCAAATCGCCACTGCATGAAATTCAGCACCTCCTCTTTGACCCCAGCCTTCTGCCTCCAAACATCTCTCTCTCAGCCATCCACTGCTTGCCCAGAACTGTACAGTCCCTTATGGTTGGGTTTGTTTCTGTTTTTCTCCCCATCTTCTCTTCTCTAGGATATTCTGCTTCCGCTCTAACAGGCTCCTTCCATCTCCTTGTCCCTTCCACGGGCTTTGTCTCTCTTAGGGGTCAACCTGTTGCCCCAAGCTCACAAGAAAACAGAGTACTAATTCCTGCAGTTTTCCGCAAAGTTTTTTTCTGCCCCTACTGCCTTTTCCTCCTTCCCTGCCAACACAGCATTCCTAATCCAGCCCCTTGCCCTTGAATGAGCTTTTCACCTGCGCATGGGAGACTGCATTGCAAACTAAACTGGGTTCTCAAAAAAGAGTCATCTGCACTGCTCAATATGATAAATTTATAGAAAGATGGTCCTTTTGGAAACGAAATGTGGATTATAATATTCTACTCTTTAACTCCCTCTAAAAGGTAACTTTGCAAAGGTGGGGAGGGGAGAATATACGGGGGCTTTTATAAGTTTTTATTTTTCCTTTCCCATTTTGCAAAAAGTCTAAATAAGAATAAGAGTGCTTTTAAAAGAATGGAATTAAGGAGAAAATAATAGTGGCTGGGCTCTGTGAATGGATCTGTAAGCTAAATGGATTGTGGGGGTTGTAATGGGATACAGAGATTATTGCCTCCCGGTTTCTGATTCATATCATGCTCGGGGGAAACAGGATTCAGGAGAGGTGACTCACCTGAATGCAGCCTTCAAGGACTGCTTTAAGAACCTGATGGCAAGCTTTTCATTTAGTGTCCATTCGTAATGGCTTTTGAGAGAGTGAGAGAGAGACAATATAAGGTTGCAGTTTCCTATATCTCATATCGCTACTCCAAAAACTGGGAGCAAATCTCAAAATGTAATGTAGAATTTTGTTTTGCTACTGAATAGCTGGTTATATATTATTATTATTATTATTATTATTAAACCCAGTTACCATTTCCCTCTCAAATCAGATCATTTCACATGAGGTGTCATCTATAACCTGACAGTTATTAAGATTCTCAGGTCCTTTAGTTCAGGGGAAAAAACTTAAAACGCTAGTGACAAAAAATGGCAACGAATCATTCAGTATGGATTGCAGAATATTTCCAGAATAAATGTTGCTTCAGCAGCACGTACACTAAAATTGGAATGATACCGAGAAGATTAGCAGGCTAAATGACATGCAGGGTTCTGGGAAGGGAAAATGCATTATATTCTAAGATGTTGTGTTATTCTGGTGTAAGAGATACACATTTCAAGTCAGAGTTGGCAGATTGGCATTTCTTGAATTGGGGCAGGAATGAGGCAGCGGTAGCAGAGCAACTTAGGGATGCGGGTGGCGCTGTGGGTTAAACCACAGAGCCTAGGGCTTGCCGATCAGAAGGTCGGCGGTTTGAATCCCCGCGACGGGGTGAGCTCCCGTTGCTCGGTCCCTGCTCCTGCCAACCTAGCAGTTCGAAAGCACGTCAAAGTGTAAGTAGATAAATAGGCACCGCTCCGGTGGGAAGGTAAACGGCGTTTCTGTGCGCTGCTCTGGTTCACCAGAAGCAGCTTAGTCCTGCTGGCCACATGACCCAGAAGCTGTCTGCGGACAAATGCTGGCTCCCTCGGCCAATAAAGCAAGATGAGTGCCACAACCCCAGAGTCGGCCACGAGTGGACCTAATGGTCAGGGGTCCCTTTACCTTTACCTAGCAGAGCAACTTACCGTCATGATGTTTACTGGACTCATATGTGAGCCCTGGATTTAAATCAGGTGAATGGAGTCCATAGGGGTGGGGTGAATAGAGGTAACACAGGATAAGACAGATTGGCAATAAGGTATATTATTATTACTTATTCAATCTGCACACTGCCTTTCATCCTAAAATCACAGGGTGGCCCACAACATAAAAATTACAAGTTGAGAACACAAAACACATCATAAAAATAGGAACAAAACTAAACCAATAACCCCCTCCCAGAAACACATTTAAAAGGCTATATATTGAGGATGAGGCAGTTCTCTTGCCTATAGATACTCATGACTTTTTTTATCAATGCATAGTCAAGTTGTGACCTGTCAAAGTGCAAGTAGATAAATAGGTACCACTCCAGCGGGAAGGTAAACGGCGTTTCTGTGCGCTGCTCTGGTTTTGCCAGAAGCGACTTAGTCATGCTGGCCACATGACCTGGAAAAACTGTCTGCAGACAAACGTCGGCTCCCTCGGCCAGTAAAGCGAGATGAGCGCTGCAACCCTAGAGTCGTTCCCGACTGGACTTAACTGTCAGGGGTCCTTTACCTTTACCTTTTACATACCACACAACAGACCACAAAATCTCAGAATCCTGTGTTTAATATATATTAGCGAGAAGGTGCCCTTGTGTCTTTCATTGAGGCTGGTCTGAAAGGGACACTGCAGATGGCGGGGAGAGAAACCTTGGTTTGTATTTAAAGCTAGGGATTTGCCTTGTTCTGGGCAGCTGCAAACCACAATACCAGTTCAATGAAATATTCTTGAGAATGGCAAGGCCTGCTATTGAATCAGTAGGGTATGCAAGAGAAATTCATATGTACCTGATCCAGTACACCCCAAAGCCCCTATTTACCACTATTCGGTTGTAGCTTCCTATATAAGTGGCTTGTGTTTGCTCATTATGCGTACCAATTATCAGATGGAACTTACACATTCTCGTGTTTAGAGAGGATAAGACATTGTGGCAGGGTGCTACTAGCAACCATTCACACAATCCTGCATTACCCTTTGGAATTTGTGTATGCTTGGGAGCATTGCATGGGTGTTAGCATTCTGGGCCACGCTGACAATATTCATTGCAGAGGCTTGAGCAACCCAGCTTTTGTCTATAGTGCTTTCTATATTTAATGCTTCAGAAACGCTCAAGATTGGTTTTGAGATGGTGATTTTTCTGTGGTGTATTTATGAGATCTGAGACATGGGATGATGGTTGCAGGAAGAGAATGAGCACAGGGTTTCAAGAAATCAGCTAAACTATCAGCAGAGATAATTTTTAAGTGCTATTTTCACCTTTTTGAATTACTCTGTATATGACAGCAGAGACTTGGGGGGGGGGTTCCTATTCATCTTAGAACCCCATCACAAGAGCTTTAGCTCTAACAAGGCTCATTCAATCTACCCATCCTGTGGTGGCATCCGGGATCTACAGGTTACAGCCCCCAACCTTGATTTGCTTTGCTTCTTTCCACCCTTTTCCTCCCCCCATCAGCACTTCATTTGAGCATTGGGGAGAGCGTTAGTATTGCAGCACCCCCTAATCAGCTGCTCATTCACCAAAGGTTGAGTTCCAGTGAAATCACTGGGGATTACTTCTCCGTAAACCAGCACAGGATAATTTAAGTAACTTGAGAATTGTCCGTCTTTGACCAAATACTTCACCATACATTAAAATCAAAAACATTAGGATGCTTCATGGTTCCATATTCTATGAACAGCCCTGAGAACTGCAGGTATAGGGTGGTATCTAAATTCTAATAATAATAATAATAATAATAATAATAATAATAGTTGAAGGCAGTGGATTTTGCTTTCACTTTGCTATTTGTAACAATTGTCCACTCATTAATAGGTTTGAAGTTGACCTGCCCAACAGCTTATTTAAAGGAAGTGGTGTTGGGGGGTGAGTGTTTGGATCCCTGGGCTCTCACTTGTGGGGTGTCTCAAAGCTCTGTCCTCTCCCCAATGCTTTTTAACATCTATATGATACTGCTGGGAGAGATCATCAGGTGGGTTGGGCTGGGTGCTCACCAGTATGCGGATGATACTCAGCTCTACCCAATGCTGTTTTCCTAGAAAAAGAGGTGCCAGAGCTCACCATTATTCTCTTAGAATGGCAATGGTGCCCACCTGAGAGGTGCTGGAGCTGAGCTCCGGTGAGCGCAGACTGAAAAAAGCCCAAGTTCTACCTTTCTTTAAAATTGGAACCAGTGAAGGTCCTGTGTGAGTGCCTGGAGGCGGTTGGAGGATGGATGGCGGCTAAAAGATTGAGGTTGAATCCCAACAAGACAGAAGTATTGTTTTGGGGGGACAGGGGGCCAGTGGGTGTGGGGTACTCCCTAGTCCTGAATTGGGTAACTGTGCCCCTGAAGGACCAGGTGTGCAGCCTTGGGGTCATTTTGGACTCATAGTTGTCCATGGGTGCACAGGTCAACCTGTGTCCAGGGCAGCTGTCTACAAGATCCATCTGTTACTCTGGCTAAGGCCCTACTTGCCTGTGCACTGTCTCGCCAGCGTAGTACATACACTGGTTATCTCCTGCTTGGGCTATTGCAATGCGCTCTACGTGGGGCTACCTTTGAAGGTCACTCGGAAACCACAACTAATCCAGAATGCCGCTGCCAGACTGGTGACTGGGAGCAGCCACTGGGACCACATAGCACCTGTCCTAAAAGGTCTTCTTTGGCTCCCAGTATATTTCCAAGAAGAATTCAAAGTGCTTGATGTTGACCTTGAAAACCCAAAATGGACTCAGCCCTGTATGCCTGAAGGAGCATCTCCACCCCCATTGTTCAGCCCGGACACTGAGGTCCAGCTCTGAAAGCCTTCTAGTGGTTCCATCACTGCAAGAAGAGAGGAGAAGGCCTTCTCGGTAGTGGCACCCACCCTGTGGAACACCCTCCATCTTGGTCTCACTAATGTGGACCAAAAGAAAGCAGAGCAAGACGTTTTGCACCAGCTTGGCTGCAGGAGTTGCTGGAAGAAGGCAGTACAAGGCACCATCCAACCGTCTTAGGGCTCCACTCCAGATTTGTGTAGGGTTTACTCCTCAGCTTTTTACTTCTCCTGAAGATATCCCACGAGGCACTGGAGGTTTATGATTAGAATTTTCCTTCTCCTGCATAGGCTACATTCCCAGGTTGAGAAGCCCCATCTTCTTCGCCATTGCATCTGCTAGTGGTCTCATCCACTCAATCTGCCGACGCCTGTCTTCGCATGCAGGGAAAGTCCCTAAGTCACTGAGGGTTTGAGACCCATCTGCTACCCTCACCTGGTTTAGATGGCCAGTTGAAGCTGTTCCCAAGGTGTGGCCGCTATTGCATGCTGACAGCCTCTAGGAGCCACAGGTGAGAGCTGAGTGCAGGGTAGGGACCAAAGGTGGATAAACTACCCCAGATGGAGCATGGGTCCCCTGCGAGAGGTACTACCCCTTCTGCTAACACCGCATACACCCCATATCTACATGGATCTTTGCAATACACACAAGTTGGCTGCTTCATCCATGTTCAAATTGGCATTCACAAGCAGCACCATCAAACTGGAGCTCTGGCTGGCAGGGCAACCCAATAACTCCTGGGTTCCCAAGATCCCTGTGGCCTTGAGATGCCCAACCTTTCTCCAAATCTGGTCCTACCATCCTCAGTACGTATTTCTTTATGCCTGTGACTACTTTCACTGGTACACCCTGGCATCCTCCACTTTACCATCACTGCCCAGGCACATACTGCCCCCCTCATGTTAGAATACCATTGTGTGCTGAGGAATGTGTTTTCAGGGAAACCACGTGCTAAAAGTCTGCCTTCATCCTGTTACGTGGTTCCATACTGGACTAGTCAATATGACGCCCTTTTTAGAAAGCTTAAGAGTTCCCAGATAGAGACCATCATCAGTCATCCGATCTTTGGATAATTCTGAGCAGCAGTTTCCTTTTTTGCAGGCTTTGTTCTCAATAGCAGCTCGGGAAGAAAAGCCACATTTGCCTTCTTGGCAACTCGGCATTGATAATAAATATAATAATAATAATTTATTTATACCCCGCCCTTCCTGGTTTAAAAACAGGGCTCCGGGCGGCTAACAGCAAATATAAAACATTGATTAAAATGTGACTTAAAAACAGCATAAAACAGCACAGAATACAACATAAAATGCAGTATCAATATCAATAAAAATCAAAAATTCAGGGGTCATGGGGTCATGGGGGGGGGAGAACCCCAGTCAGTAGACATCAAATGATCACCAGGGCTAACTGGCCAAGTTGGTCCTACTAGGGCCAGCAAGGAGACCAGGGAAGAATTTAAATGTGGGGTCCCAGAAAGGGTTTCTTCATAGAAGAGGAAAGGGAAAAGGGAACAGAAGATCAGGCTAATTCAAATTAAAGGCCAGGCGGAATAGCTCTGTCTTACAGGCCCTGTGGAAGGAGATCAAGTCCTGCAGGGCCCTAGTCTCGTGGGGCAGAGCATTCCACCAGGTTGGAGCCATCA